ACAATTTCTTACAGTTATTTTTTTTAAATGATATGAGTTCCTTCTATATCTCACTTTGTTTATTTCAACTATATAGGACCTGGGCACTTCCAATTTTTTAATTATTACACCTTTTACCCACTCTTTCTTTTTAATGTCTCTTACCAAGACCTGTTCATTAACCTCAAACTCTTCTCTTTCTTTTGTTGTTCTGTCAAAATAAGTCTTTGCGTTCAGTTTTGCCTTCTTAAATTCCTCTTTTGCATACACTACTCTTGGCTTTAATATTACTTTTTTTATTGGTAGTTTTGTATTTAATACTTTAGACATTAGTAATTGTGCTGGTGAGTATTTACTATTTAATACAGGTGTATTCCTATAGTTTAAAAGAAATAATTGTAAGTCTTTTTTCTCCATAATGCTTTTTTTTATCATTTTTTTAGCAATTCCTACAAATTTTTCAGCTAACCCATTACTACGGGGATAATATGGACTAGATGTTGTTATTTTAAATTTATACTCTACACTAAATTGTTTGAATTCATAGCTTTCAAATGGCATATTGTCGGCTATTAGTTCTGTGGGAATACCAAATCTTGCAAATATTTCCTTGCAACAATTTATTAGAGTAGCACTATTTGCGTTTCTAATTGGTATTACTTCTAACCATTTGGAATAATAGTCGACTAATACAAAATATTTTTTTCCGGCCCATTCTGCTATATCTGCTCCTAGCTTTAAAAATGGTATTTCAGGTATTTCATGTTGAATTAACGGCTCTTTAGTATTATTATAGGAAATTTGTTGACAGATAGTACAACTCAACACAAAATTTTCAATATTACTATTAATACCTGGCCAATAGCAATGCTGTCTTGCTTTAAGTTTTGTTTTATGAACTCCTAGGTGTGTTTCATGAAGCAACTCCAATATCTCTCTCCTAGTTTTTTTAGGGATTAATAATCTATTATTCCAGTATAAGAGGTCTTCTTCCATTGTTATTTCATTTTTTAGTTTACTATAATGTATTAACTCTGAATTTCTCTCTAATTTACTAAGACTTTTAGGCCATCCACTCTTATAAAATTCAGTTACCATTTTTAACGTTTCGTCCTCCAACATGTTTTGCTTATACTCATTAATTTTCTCCTTACTAAATCTGATTTCCCCCACTTTTACTGTGTGTATTTTATCCTTCATACTTTCATCGTCTGTCACAGTATTATCAGTTTTAAAATTTCTGCTTAGAAGATCAGCAATGTACATATACTTGCCAGGTAGATACACTAAGTCAAATTTATATAAAAATAATTTCATTCTTAGTCTTTTGATTCTATTGTTTTGTATTTTATCCAAACCTTTTTTAATTATGCTAACTAGAGGCTGATGATCAGTATAAATTATAATATTATCATTTCCGTAAATGTAATTATGTAGTTTTTGACAAGAATACGTCACTGCTAATAATTCTTTTTCGATTTGGGCATAACCTTTTTCTGTATCTGTTAAGGACCTTGAGAGAAAACATACTGGTTTTTTGTTTTGAAGTAAACAACACCCAATGGCATCCTGTGATGCATCACATTGTATTTCTACTTTTATATTAGGATCAAAATTAGTTAAAGTGGAGGCGTTACATATTAATCGTTTTACTTCTTTTAATACTGCTGAATGTCTCTCACTCCAGACCCAAATTTTATCTTTTTTAAGCAACTCTCTTAGAGGAGATATTATTTCTGACATTTTTGGTATGAATTCTCTTACATAGTTTACCATGCCTAAAATTCTCTGAAGTTCAGTTTTATTTAAAGGATCTTTTAGTTCATTTATTACTCTTACTTTCTGTGGGTCAGGACGCATTCCATCTCCATTGAATAAAAATCCTAAGAATTTAACTTCATTCAAACCGTATTGTATTTTATTTTTATTTAGTTTTATATTATTTTCTCTTGCTATTTGAACTACTTGATTTAGTATGGTATCGTGTTCCTCTTTAGTGTCTGCACTTATCAATATATCATCAAAGTATATTACTAGGTTTTTTATACTAGAGAAATATTTATTTAATAAACTTTGAAAAATTTCTGGTGACACATTTAACCCAAAGGGAAGTCTCAAGAATTTATAAGTTCCAAATGGAGTACTAAAATTACATAATTTGCTTGATTCATCATCAAGACCTACCTGCCAAAAACCATCAGAGAGGTCAACTACCGTAAACCATTTTTTTCCTTTTAATTTAGGTATAATTTCTTTTAATGTTGGTATTGGATATTTGACAGTTTTGAGTGCTCTATTAAGATCTTGAGGATCTAGACATATACGTAATTTTTTATTTGGTTTTTCTACTATTACTATATTTGATATCCAGTCAACAGGTTCATTTACAGTAGCTATCACTTTAATTTTAACTAAGTGGTCTAATGTATTTTTTAACTTATCTTTTATAGACAGTGGAACCCTTCTTGCAGTGTTTATAACAGTACTAACATTTTCTTTTAAAACCAATTTACATTTTTCAGGAAATAAACCTAAACCAGTAAAAACATCAATATTATTATTAATAAATTGATCTCCATTCTTAATCGCTCGCACTCTTTTAACTAGATTCAATTTTTTACACAAATCTGAGCCAAGTATTGCCTCTATTTTTTTTTTACATTTCCCATGTTTAACTGTATCATTAACAACAAGAAATTTTCCTTTTTTTTTCATTTCACTTTGAGCTTGACATTCTACCCATATTGTACCTAATGGCTTTATTAAATATCCTCCAAATGTTTCTATTCTTACTTCACACTTTTCAATTGTAGGCTTTGGTATCAAACTTTTATAGAAACTATAGGGTAATATACTAACTTCAGCTCCTGTATCAAGTTTTATTTCCACATTCAAATTATTAATTTGTATTACTTGTGTCCATTTTTCCTTTGCTAAGTTATTTTCCTCATTAAGAACTCTAGCTATGCTATTAATATTAAAGTACTCATCACTACTGTCTGATTTTTCAATATCTACTGTTCTCACTTTTTTATTTTTGCAACCTACAGCAAAATGATTCATCTTCGAACAATTACTACACTTTTTCCCAAATGCTGGACAACTTTTTGGACCATGTTTATTATTACATTTTTTACATAAGTATTTTACATCTTCATAACTATTTTTATTAACATCACTGTTATTAACAATTTTTTTTTTTTTTTATACAACTGCTTACCTTTAAAATCCTTGTTATGATGCTGCTTGAACGACTTAACTTCTGCTCTGTTTACTGATACCCCTTCCTTGCCGATGACTGCTGTTAATTCGATCTCGTGTCTACTTTTCTCCGATAATTCAATGGACTGACAGAACTGCACAGTTTGCTCTAAATCCATATTTTTCTCTAGTAGCTTTTGTTGAGTTTCTTTATTTTGAATACCCAATACAATTTGAGTACACAACAACTGTTTTTCAGCATCTTTGAACTGACAATGTTTTACAAGTTCTTTTAGGTCTGTATAATATTTGTCAAACGGTTCTGACTGGTTTTGCCTTCTTTGAAAAAATTTGAATTGAGACATTACCAGATTTCTTTTTGGTATGCATCTTAGTTTCAGTGCGTCCAATATTGCACTTACTGTTTGTTCTTCGATGTCATCTTTTATTTGGAAATATATTTTTCTAGCTTCTGCACCCATTATGTTCAAAAGTCTAGCAACTTGAGTTTCTTTCGATTTCTTAGTGGTTTCAGTTGCTGTGAAGAATATCTCGACTTCTTGTCGAAATAATTCGAAATTTGACTCCACGTCTCCGTCCAGTTTTAAAATTGCTGGTTTTTCGAACTCCGCCATTTTACTAATTATTAGTTTTAATTTATACACTTTACTAGTTAAAATCCTACTGTCTGCGCCATGTTACGTCTTCTATTAATGACCTGACGTTGGTCGATGATGACTTAGGAAGATGGAAACAGATGCAAATATTAATAATGTGTTACAAA